CGGCCACGGGCCGCGTAAGACACGTGCATTTTGTGAAAGAGGCGCCAAAACTTGCACTGAAGTTCTCAAAGATATAAGGAACAATTTTTGATGGATTCTTTTAGAAAATTTTGAATCGTTCAGTCTGTACTGTTCAATTCGTACAACCTGAACAGAGTGGGATAAAGAGCTATGGCACTGACCCTTGTTGAGCTAATACGTGGCGGGCAGCAACTTCGCAACCCCTTTTTGGTCATGATTGACATAAAGCGAAGGAATTTGAACACCCTTGTCCACTTTTTTGAACAAGTTTGTACATTTTGAAGTGTATTGAACCTCCGTAAAAATGCTCTTTAAGCAAAAATTTTTTTTTTATCTGTACACTTCTGACACCTCAACCTGAAGGGGCCTTGCACGAATAGTTTGCGTAGCGGTGTGGACAACCCTGTTCAGAACGCTGGATGGAACACCAAGTTGAACAAAAAGGAGTATTTTCAAAGATATGTGTCAGACACGTCTTTCCCATGTGAAACGAACGTGCTGATGACAAATCTGAAGTCAGGAATGAGGTTTCTTTTTTCTACATTATGTTTTTCTTAGTGTTCCAACACCAGTGTTTGGCGGGGATCACTGTCATAAAAATCTACAGTTTTTCATACAGGACAGCCAATAAATTTTTGCCAGGTCTCGACTGTATTTATTTAATTTTACGGGCGGACCGTACACATTTCTGTTCGAAAGGTAGGGGCTTTTATCAAATTTCGACACCGTGTATCAGAAAAGTAGACAAGACCCTATCCGAGCCTAACGGGGATGTGTACAGTCGTCGGTTTTCTGAAAAACACTAGTTGTGTTGGAACACTGATGTAGAGAAAAGAAACCTCATTCCTGACTTCAAATTTGTCATCGGCAGGTTCGTTTCACACGGGAAAGACGTGTCTCACACGTGTCTTTGAAAATACTACATTTTGTTCAACTTAGTGTTCCATCCAGCGTTCTGAACAGGGTTGTCTACGCCGCTTCGCAACTGTTCGTGCAATAAGGCCCCTTCAGGTTGAGATGTCAGAAGTAGTGTACAGATAAAAACATACTTTTAATAAAATAACATTTTTACGACGGTTCAACACACTTCAAAATGTACAAACTTGTTCAAAAAAGTGAACAAGGGTGTTCAAACTTACGAAGTTGCTGCCCGCCACGTATTAGCTCAACAAGGGTCAGTGCCATAGCTCTTTATCCCACTCTGTTCAGGTTGTACGAATTGAACAGTACAGACTGAACGATTCAAAATTTTCTAAAAGAATCCATCAAAAA